TACTTTTTGAAAATAAAAGGAATAAAATGAAATGAAATCCTTTTGTTTTTATCTTGTTTCTTATTTGAACGATGAATTAACTTTGTTATTTGAAAGTTAAACAAGTACTTCAAATGCTAATACCGTAATGAACATGAGACGTCCTCTGCAAGAGCATCGTAAACATAAGAGGTCCCTCTATTATAAAAACCCTCACGTTAAAGGGTTGGGTTCGGAAGAATTTATGCCCGGAATCAAAATGCCTTCGGGGAAAGATACACCCGAAGCCGTATTCAAAAGGACACAAAAAGTAAACTTGCGCAAATACTTATCAAAGCCCTCACAAAAAAAGGCTGATGCCCAGAGCCAAAAATACTTTTGGGGAGAATATACCCAAGGCTTCACATAATAAGACGCAAAAAAGAAAAGCTTGCGCAAAATTCTTAAGCAAAAGGAAGAAAATACAAAGATTAAAGACTTGCATGAATATTCAAATGAAAGGAAGACTCAAACAATACTTGAGCAAAAGATGTTTTTATTTGCAAAAACATGCCAAAACGGCACAGGTACAAGAATTGGAAAAAGAAAAAAAAAGCTAAACTGCAGTATCTCCGGAACCAAGAGGAAGAGAAGTGTTTGCGCCCCCGAGGGAAGTAGATGGATCCACCGATGGCTCAACATTTTCAGTAGTTTAGCCTTCAGCATCATCATCCTCTGATTCTTCTTCAGTTCCCGAGAACTCGGAACCGGAACTAGAAGGACCAGGAGCATCAGACCTCGCTGGGAGTCCACTTTTAGCAGCTAACTCAAGCTCACGGGCCTTAGCAATTTCGGCATCAAAATCAATGACACCAGCTTTGGCCTCTTCCAAGGTTTTTCTCCTCATGTTGTACATAGCGTAAGTTTTCTCAACAACGAGGGAAGTCGCTAGGTGCTTAAGTTCTTCTTTGAGTTGGGTTACCTCGGCAGAAAGGCTTTCCCGGGCGGACCTAACAGATATGAGGCTAACATCAAGGTCACGAACTGTTAAACTAAAGAGCCTATTACGCTCGATAGTTTTCTTGTACTTCTCTTCCAGCTGGGCATGTTTCGCCCCCGCAGCAGCAAGTTCTTCAATTTTGGAGTTCAAGGTTGCCTCTAAGTTAGTCACTCTTTCAGCGGAGGCAGCCTCGCGTTCGGTTGCAACAAGAACGGCGTTATGGACTTCAGCCCATTTGGCCCTAGCTTCTTCAAATCTAACCCTCAGCGGGCTAATTTCTTGGTTAAGGGTTACCATTTGTTACTCGCTTTGCTGCAAACGAGCCTCCAATACAACAACCTTAGTAGCTTTGGCTTCTAGTTCCGAAAGGCGAGCGACATTTTGCTCTTGCTCTGCCAAAAGCTGATCTCGTGCGGAGGTAATCTCTTCCTTTTCACAAATCAACCTCTGAAGGCCCTCGGAAGCAAGAAAGTTGGCCTACAAAGCAGGAAGGGTAAAATTCAGGATATGTTCATACCAAAAATAAAAGAAGTAATAAAGGAAGAAAGGAACGTACCGATGCGGCGTTGTGCATGGCGTTGTTCAACAAACACTCTCCTGAGAGTGCTTGAATCTTTTCCTAGTCTAGCAAGCTCCACCGGCCGGGATAGTAAGTTGCATCTGGTAGAGACCGAAAGAGTAACATTACTCCTCCTTTGTGGATCTTCAGAAGGGGCAGCATAATTTTGTCCCAAATTCCCATGACCTGGGAACTGGGGAAGAGGAACACCTTCTTCGTGGTCAGGTGCGGCCGGTGGAGATGATGTAGCAGTTGCTGGTGGAAGAGTGGATGAAGATGCAAATGATGTAGCAATTGCTGGTGGAAGAGTGGATGAAGATGGAAGTGATGTAAGAGTTGTTGTTATTGGTGAAGATGGAGATGAAGCTAATGGAGTTGAAGAGTGAGAAGCAGCTGCATCAAATGGAATGCTGGTTATTGGATGCTCGCCAATCAAAGACGGCAGGGACCCGATACTCAGCCCCACAGTACCGGGCACAGTAATTGGGGCACGAAAATGGGAGTTGACATTATCTACCAAATCAAACTCTCCCCAACAGGTCGAGCATCCTGTTGAGATGATGAGGATCATCGTCTTCTATGTAGAGAAGCTCTCTCATCACTAGCTTCTTCATCATTGTCGATCGTTACGATATCTATGATCGGCCCGGAAGGAGGGCCAGTCACCATCACTACCGGAGATGACTCGGGGGAACCGATTTTCGCCCTCTTATTCTTTTTCCCGGCCGCGAAGGAGCGTCTTCTCTTTGGTTGTTTGTCCTCCGGCCGGGGACTCCGTAAAGAAACATTTATGCCCGAAGTAGGCCCGAAGACACTTGTTCGAGTAAGCGCCTCCTGAAGCAGCCTTGCTGCATCAGCAGGATCAACCAAGACGTCCTCCTTGGGAAAAACAACAGAGCCCACGGGTAGACCTAATTTCATAGATAAGTTAGAAAGGATCAATCAAGTTCTTCACATGAAAAATTGAAATAAGGTGAGTTTGAATTATCATGATTTTTGGCCTTCCACCCGTATTTAGGAGCCAGTTCTTTCCACAAGCGAGTTTCGGGCGTCGTAACGTCCAAGATCTTTTTGACCTACCGGTACAAACCTTCAACCACCGGTGGGATCCATCGAGTTGTTGAAACAGGCTAAGGATGGAGGATCAATACAGCTATAGAAGAATATTTAGTAAAAGGAAATATTAAACAAAAAGCTTACGAGTGCGGTTCCAAGCTGACGGAAAGGATGAAGCCATTGCTGGAATGATATCGTTGGTGGCAACTGCAACGAACCTTTTTATCCATCCACGATCGTTGTCATCATCCATGCTAGACAACAGTGCATGGTGGCCACGCTTGCAGAGGTTTATCATTCCCCCGCGGAAGATCTTAGGAGAATAAAGATTCATCATATGAGCTAAAGTTAGCTCTTCTCCAGTCTCCTGGCACAAATGCCGAAGGCATGCAACCGTCCTCAACATAGAAGGACTTACTCTGCCAAACACACTTGGTAGCAGAGGCAAAACTCCGCAATCATGGAGTCAAGCTCTCCGCTCAAAGAGAACACATCCAAAGTAGAGGAATACGTGTAAAAATATGTAAAACCCTCCTTGGGTAGGGTTACTCGCTCCGATAGATCAAGAGCAATAATATCCAAGTCGTGGCATCGACAGTCTTCCTTCACAGCAGGAAAGCTAGAAGGACGGATGGAAGAAGGATACCTACTGACGGCCCATGTACAAGAGTTAGCAATAGGGAATTTCTCTTCAAAGTCTTTTGTAGTAATAAGACTTCTAGGGATGATGAAGCATTGTTGGAGGAGCAGAGTCCTCGGCCTGGTTCTTGATCTTTGAAAAATCGGTATGCTTTGAAGAAGAAGCCATTGTATGGAAGAAGGAGAAAGTTTTTTGTTCGAAGAGAATTAGAGAAAAGATGAAGAGCAAGATGCAAGTTAGATAAGGGAAGCTTGAAAAATTATGGAGTATAAGGGAGAAGGTTGATACGTATAAGTAAAATTCATGGCCATGATTACCTCGATAATCGGTAAAAGTTATGCTGAATCATGGGATGACGCGTGTTCGGGGCATTAAATGCGGAGAGACATGCGTCTAATCAACCGTCAAAAGCCTTTAGAGGGAATTATAGTAATTTCCGTCAAAAGAGTGTTTCTACCAACTTCCCGGCAACACAAAGTTATGTCACCGGAAAGCAGGGGGACTATCTGTATAGGGTAAAATATGATATGGCTCGTGGCCGTCCAAAAAAGGGACACGTGAAACCCAAGACGGGAGATGGCCAAAGACCGAATGCAACTGTTTCGTTTGTCACCGGAAAGAATAACGCTCATAAAGATGTGATAAATGCTTTTCGTTCGGTAGCATTTAATAGAGAATATTCCATGGTATTAAGAGCAATTATCCGTTATCGGGAATTTAATATTTATGTTTACCGTTACATCTTCATCAATATCCCTCATAATTGACATTAAAGAAGGGAACAATCCTAGGACCTCCTTCCCTAGACATAGCTATAAATAGTGAGCTGAGTTATCATTGTCAAGGGGTTGAATTTTCTAGCAAACTTACGCTACATTCTATATAAAGCTTAATACAATCTTATCTTCTTGCTTTTTGGATTTCGTTGTTGTTGTACCCGAAAACCCGTTACCGGAACTGTTGCTTCTGCTGTTTCGTCTACATCCTAAGACTAAGTATGGCATAATTCTTCGATTATTTTATTATTTCAGGATCAAATTAATTAACTTGTGTAGAAACCACATATAACTTCAATTATACCGTTTTACGGGTAAACATGATATTTCTGATTCAAATATAAATCTCCATTTATCTCAAATTAACTATCTTAGTCAGCCACCACTGAGAAAAGGGATCTAGAAAGTGAAAATTAAAAACAATTGACTGCAAAATGTCATTCAAAGAGGGCCAAAAGTTTGCCATTTTTAAAAGTTTATGACGGCTGAGGTGTATTTTTTTTTATACTCTCTCTTTTTTCCCTTTTTTACTTTCCCTTGTCTTCTGGAAATCCCTCTTTTACAATGAACAATAAAAACTACATACTCCTCCTCGTAGCTCATAACCTCCCACAGGCATCTTCAATAAACATTTTGAATTACAACTTGTTTTGTGAGTTTCAGATATGTAGAATATAACTAGAATGTGATGCTCGTTTTGTTCATTATATTCTGCAAGTAAAGAAATTAACATACAGTAATAGACTTGGTCGAATATAAATTTTTAATAAATGAGTACTAAACTTTCCATTAGAGTCGCGTATCCATAATACTCAAATATATAGAACACTAATATAGTTTGACTGGCATTCTCCATCGATTAAAATACCTAATATCTGTCACTTGGGGGACATTAGATAAAAAATAAAATGGCCGATTTCCAATTACTGTTATAAGCAATTTCAATAACGCAAAGATAATTTCCGGTTGTGTTGTCTTTCATTACTTTAAAAATATTTAAAAATTAAGAGCGCAATTATAAGAGGTTACAAGTGAAATGCTGATGTCACTAGCTAGTTCAATTTTTTTACAAAATTGGCCATTGTACACAAATTTGACCGCCATGATTCGCTTCATCGCCACCACAACCACCGTCATCCACCACCATCTCCGGCAACAAATCCGCACCTTCGTCAACGCAAGAATCAAATGGGTACGAGACCCATACCTCGATAAAGCAGTAGAAAAGGAAAAGAACCTCAAACCATTACTCTCTCTCAAGAACTTAATCCTTTCACATCCCTCAAAATCTCTACCCCTTCGCACCATTTCCCCTCTCAAACCCCAACTCAATCTTCCCACCACTGCTCTCAAATTCATCCAAAATTACCCTTTTGTTTTCAAAACTTTCAGGCCTCCTGTACCCTTATCCACTCTACATGTAAAGCTCACTCCAAATGCACTATCTTTACATAATGATGAGACCCTTTTTCTTAGTCTTTCACATTACCGTAAAGATTTAGCCCAAATATTAGCAAAGCTATTGATGCTCACAAGAGCTAAAAGACTTCCTTTTTATGTTATTGAAAGGTTTAAATTTGACTTGGGTTTGCCTCGTGATTATTTGTTGAGCTTTTTACCTGAATTTCCTGAGTATTTTCAGATTTGTCAAATGGGTTTTAAGGATTCTGATGGTCGTGAGGTTTTTGGGTTGGAATTAGTTAAATGGAGGGAGGATTTAGCTGTTTCTGTAATGGAGAAAAGGGTGAAAAGCGAGGATTTGNAGGTTTTTGGGTTGGAATTAGTTAAATGGAGGGAGGATTTGGCTGTTTCTGTGACGGAGAAAAGGGTGAAAAGAGAGGATTTTGGGGGTAGGAAAAGAGTGCATATAAGGTTTTCGATGAATTTACCAAGAGGATTTGATTTGGTGAAGAAAGTGAGGAATTGGGTTGAGGAGTGGCAGAATTTGCCTTACATTTCACCTTATGAAGATGCATTTCACTTGGCTCCTAATAGTGATCAAGCAGAGAAATGGACAGTTGGGGTGATTCATGAACTGTTAAGTTTACTTGTATCAAAGAAGACAGAGAGGGAGAATATTTATTGCTTAGGGGATTATTTAGGATTTGGAATAAGGTTTAGAAAAGCTTTAGTGCATCATCCGGGTATATTTTACTTGTCGAATAAGATTAGGACGCATACTATAGTTTTGAGGGAGGGATTTAACAAGAACATACTGGTTGAGAAGCATCCATTGATGAGAATGAGATACAAGTACATCAGTCTCATGAACAGAGTGTTGAGAAGGGGAATACCAATCAATGCTGGAGCTGTTAGGTACAGGAAGCGGCTGACTTCTTCTTTGAAAGGAGGAAAAAGGAAGGAAAATGAGAAGAGGATGAGACAGGTTAAAAGTCTAGAGACTTGAGAAGTTTGAAAGATTCGACAAAGATATGACAAAAGTGACAATAGAAAGACTAGATTATTTGACAATGATAATTTTATGATTATGCACGATGCTGCAAAGGCTGTTACCAGACGGAGTATTCTGTGAGTAATTGCAATATGTTGGTGTCTGGGAAATGAGGAGTCCAACGGCTGTAGAAGCATGGGAATGCTGAAGAATAGAAGAATAGTACAGCTTGTCGTTACACAGATTGGAAAATTTGGCCTTCGAAAGTGACTCTTGTACTTTGATGGCAATCATCCTTGCTTAAAAGAAGGAAGAAATAACAGGATTGTCTGCATAGACAAGTAGAGTTGGGCTGCTATATCACATACTAGGATCATCCAGGATGCTGTTTCCTTGGCAAGTTTCTTGTTCTTACTAGTTGGTGTTTAAATTATTCATTTGTACCTTGCCTTGACTTCTACTTGCTATGTGATGTTAGCTATATTGTGCAAGTAAGAAATTGACATAGAGTAATAGAGGCAAAAGCAAGGAAAAGGAGAAGAGGATGAGACAAGTTAAATGTCTAGAGACGTGAGAAGATTGGACAACGATATGACAATAGAGACAGAAGACGTAAATGATACTTATATGATCATGCACGATGCTATAAAGGCTTGTATATAGATGGATTTGTGTGTCAGTAATTCACTATATGTTGGTGACCAGATGTTGCTGGAATCTTGGCAATGCTCAAGAATAGATGAATGGTACAACTTGTCTTTATATGGATATACAGGGCAAAACAAGGTAAGGAAACCTTAGTATGCACGACAAGCTGACAGCCGCTGCTGAAACTGTCTTTACATTGGATGATTTGGCCTCTGGCTGGATAACTATTATCAAGATTGCCTTCTCTTTCCGTCCCTTCTGAAGTGAAGGGAGACTCGTGCCCTTCGAAATGGTCATATTCTTACTATGATGGCAATCCCTCTTTGCCAAAAGGAGAGCGCAAATTGGAGGTCTGTATCAAACAAATGTTTAACCATCTTGAGTGAACATACATCATGTGATACTTGCCCAAGGTGAGTTATGATCATCTCTAATCTTGTCTAATTTTGTATGGCGACACATCCATTGCAACATTTCCAATATTCCATATTTAGAACACTCTTCCTCAACATTAATTCTCATATAGAATATTGCTCATCTCACAACTATGCTATAGATCTTATTTTTCAATTTGGTAAGTATATTCCCGACACATAACGCTCCTGTAAAAGTTAAAACTCCTCCATTTCAATCATATGATTGTAATTTTAAGTTGCATGTAATTTGGACTGACTATTCCAGGTGGAATTTCGTTTACTAACAAGAATATGAAAATATTGTGTTCTCATGTTGGTTTAAGAACGTGGAAAAGTCACTAAGAAATAGAACGAGAAGAAGAAAAACAAAACCAATAAGTATGAAATTATGAAGTATTCATGAGTGTGAAACAATGGGGATTCCAAGACTATTAAGAGGAGATCTTGGGGAATAAATTTTCTCACTCATTTTGACAGTGCGAAACTGAGAAAGGGGGAAGAAAGAGTTGGAATGATTATTCTTTCAGAGACGATTCCTTATACTAACTTTTTGTCAGAATTTCAATGTAATGAAAGGGCATCATAAGCTAATGTTAAATTTTTTTAATTTTTTTTTTTTGAGTTGAAAGAGAGCATATGTAACTCTTAAAGAAAATTTTTGCTGAACCAAGACTTTCAAATTTCTAAAAAGTGTAGTTATTAGTACATTTTTTCAAATGAATTTCACAAATAAATGCCATTTTGAAAAGAAAAAAAAGTATTATGAAAATTAACCATTTGTAAGTGGAAGTTGAAAGTATGAAACTTCTTGAAAACTGAAATTTACCTTCAGACCACAACTTTTACTTGAATTTTTATTCAAGATCAAGTTTAAATTTTATTCTCATTTTCGCAATCAGCGCGAATTTACAAGTGAATTCCTAACTACTTGTCGTTAGGTGTTCGGACAAACGAAGAAAAGTATTTTTGGACAGCAATATAAATAAATTTCTGTTGTGTATAAGAAGTTTCAAATTTTTGCTTATTCTAATAAGCCGACACTGATGCATAAAATTAAAATTTTAAAGACAAATCTATCAGTACCAAAAATTTATATTTAATTATCACTCATAATCCATCTATCTCTCAGATATAAAAAGACCCTCTTTCTGATCTTTTTTGTTTAACATATTTATATTAATTAACAACTTTAAATTTTGTTTATGTATGACGGGCGTCAATGGTAAGGTTTTGGACGGGTATTTTTAAAATATTATACCATGCTAATATTTCGATTATTCTATCATGCATAATTAAAATTAGGCTTTTCAAAACAATATCGGTCATCTCATTTTTTATTCATTATCAATAATAATTCGGTAATTTTTTTATAATTTCTTTTAAAAAACGTCATCTAAAAGTCACACCCATATCTAATTCGTTATATTAAGGGAAAAGGCACAAGTCCCCTCAAACTATGGACGAATTTTCAACTACACACCTTATCTTTGCGTGAGTTTTATTACCACCTTCAGCTATCTCAAAACGAAATAAATAACGCCCTAATATTAGATAACCAGATTCATGGCAGGCGGTGAATACACGTGCTGCCACGTGTTATTTCATTTTTTTTAAAAACATTTCTTCTTTTTCGTTCCTTCTTTCCTTATTTCTCACTCTATCACATTTCCTTTTGTTTTGCTTTTCTTTTTCATTCTTACTTTTTCTTTCTCTCGTTATTTTGTTTCTTATTTTTCAGTTTTTTCTAACCTTGGTTGTCGATGCCGTGGTAGTGGAGCTAAATCTTGATCCTTCTTCAACAGTTCAATGCTCTGTTTGGTAGGGGAGAAATACTAAAAATTTAAGAATGTTGTTGTTAGATTCTGTAAGAATAAGTATATTTATCATTAATCGACTCTTGCAAGAAAAAAGAGTAGACACAGACAAGGAAGAAGATTAATCCTGTAATGACCCAACCGGTCATTTTAACTTTTAGAACCCCGTTCCCTAAAAATAAAATTTTTCGTATGTTTACCCGAAAAATGGATAGAGTTGAATTTATACGCAGTTCCGAAGATATGTGGTACAACTTAATACAAAATACAAGGATAAATAAATATGTGAATATAGATTGGATAAAATGTAATCTAGACAAGGCAATCACGAATAGTGAATCTTAGGATTTAACAAAATAGAATCAATCTAAGAAACTAGAATGATCACTCTTTCTTGTAGAGGAAATAATATTTTTGTTATAATGTAAATCTCAGAAAAAAGATGTGCCTGCAGAAAATGATAAACAAGCCCTTTTATAGTGGAGGGATTTGGCTCCAAGCATAATAAAATAAACATCTAGTGAGAGACCCATGATAAATCAACTTTTCCATAATTTCTGCCAAGATTCCCTCTAGTGGGATTACAACGGCTTTTGTCTGCGAGCTCGATCTTGCTTAGAATCCTCGGTTTTGGTTCGAGCTCGATTTCGGCTCGAACTTGTGACCTTGGTTCGAGCCCGACCCTGGTTCGAGCCCTTGAATTGATTCCAAGTCGACGTAGGTTGGTTTTTGGATTATCAACATGATAGATCTACCCGCGTCATAGTTCGATTCTTGTTCGAGTTTGATTATGATATCGATCTCATCACGAACCGGCCTCCCCGGGTTCTAGGCTAGTTCGTGCCCCCTTCGGGATTTTACTTCGATACACCACCCTTCGAACCGTACCGGACATGCCAAGGCTGAAATCTATTTCGACCGTATACAGATAGTCCCCTCGTTTCTCAGAAAGAAATATAGCGAGAAACGATACGATTTTCAACAGCTCGATCGGATTATATCTTGTCGCTTCCATCAGGTTCGACCATGACGCATGTGGTAGCTGTCCCGTTGGTTTAGTCTTTCAAGGCATTTAATGCATGTCAAGCGGTGGTCGGCCACTACTGATAATGAACCGCCGTCGTTTTGAACCTATAAATAGCTCTCACTTTTATCTTTTACCATTTTTACATCTTCTATCTTCTAAAATTTCTCAATTTCTTCTTTATACTCTCCAACTTACCAAAAAAACTGTGATTTCTTTCCGAAAGGACCCCTCAATTCTACCAAATCTCTATCACTTTCTTCTACTCCTTACTTTTGAATTCAAAAATGGCGAAAATATCGCAAACCGTTCCTCAGAAAGAGAAAGCTTTATCTTCACAGTGTGTCGCCGATGAGACACCTGCGGAACCACGGCCAGAGGAGTGTGTCCCCGGAGCGTGCGTCCTTACTTCAGATTTTAAAGTTGATAAAGGTTCATTGGTCCCTGGCCGGTGTGAGCCGGTATCGAGGTACATGTGTTCGATTACTGAGAAGCACCTCGATCTGTTAAAGAAGGACTGCAATTGGGGTGAAAAAGAAGTGATAATACCTACCCCTGACGAAGATATCACTTCTTACGTGAAAGGGCTTTTGAATGTATATACTTACCCTTTCACTTTGGGTCCCCTCGATTCTGTCGTTATCGACTTCTGTCGATAGTATCAGGTAACCTTAGGCCAGGTCCATCCTTCTTTGTGGCGGATCGTTATCCTGATCCGATATTTCGTGAGCAAAATCGAGGGGATGTCGTTTACCCTCATCATCTTATCCGGCTGTACCGTCCCTGACTTTTTCGGGGAGGGTTAATAAAACTCCAGCGTCGGGCTACCAAGGCTTTGTTC